GGTCCTCAGACTTCTGTGGAGACGGGAGGGGTTGACCAACATGCCTCAAATGCCAGCTGGGAAGAGTGCAGGCCGGGATTTGAACTCAAACACTCAAGCTCTCCATCCCTTACTCTTCCCCTCATGCAGCCCAGTCTCTCGTGCTTATTTCCAAGATGAAGGATGACAGTTCAGTTGGCTGCTGGGTGGACAGCGGCATAATGCTTTCAGTCCTGTGTCTTTGCCTGGCTAGCAGTGTTAAGGAAACAGAATCATCAGCATTATCGAAACAGCTGTAATGAATAGAGTCTCTGGAACCAGGGTTATTTCAGGGCTTTCCATGCGGGTTCTCTGATCCTCACACCACCTTCATGCGGTGGGCTCTGTTATCATCCCATTTTGCAGGTGAGGAAATGGAGGAACTTGGCAGGTCCCACTGAGCCCCTAGTAGGGCTAAGCCCAGGGTTAGCCCCAGGTTCTCCTGGCTTTCACCTCTGATCTGCTCAGTGCACTGCACTTCCTCTTATACACGGCACATGACCATCAGACCATTGCTTACACTGTCAATGTCATCAGCATCCTTTCCCAGCGGTTTAATCACCAGCAAGCTGATACTTCCCTTTTTCAACGGGTGAGCTCGCAGCGATTATTCATGTGATCTGAAGCTAATCCTTTAAAAAAAAATTTTTTTTTTCAATCTGCTTCTCCTTCTCCTTTTAATCTTTATTATTGAAAGTATTACCCACTGACCTCTTCTAGCCCGCCTCCCCCCCTATCCCAGGCCTTCACCACCCTATTGTCTACATCCAATGGATTACACATATATGCATACAAGTTCTTTGGGTGATCTCTTCCCATACACCCACCTAATCTTTTTTTTTAATAGTAAAATACATGTAACATAAAGTTTACCACTTTTAGGAGTATGGTTCAGTGGCATTAAGTACATTCACATGGTTGTGCAACCATCACCACTTCCCCATCTCCAGAGCTTTTCTCTCTTCCCCAACTGAAGCTCTGTAGCCAGTGAAGAAAAAAACAATTTCCCAGTGCTTTCTCCCCCCCAGCTCCTGGAACCATCATTTCTCTTTCTGCCTTTCCCAAGTTGACTACTCTGAGCCACATCTAAGTGGAATCACATACTATTTATCCTTCGGCGTCTGGCTTGTCTTCAAGGTTCGTCCTGTAGTGAGGTGAATTCTTCTGAAATGTGAACTATCCTTTCCTACTTGATCTTTCTGACTCTGACTTCCATCCGGCAGAGCACACGTCTAGAAAGACTATACCAACAAAAACTCCAAACCTTAAGGACACAAGGGTTGACTTCCCCGTTTTCTTTCCAGAATCCAGGCTGAATGGAACCCGGGGTGGGGACAGAGGGTGTTTTTTATTTTTATTTTTATTTTATTTTTTTATTTTTTTTTATTAGATTCAAGCTGGGCGCTAGGTGGGCGCCATTTCTCTGGTCAGAGGGTGGTTCTGAACCAGCACGGGCCAGGGGAACAGGCCGCCACCCGGAGAGAAATGCAAAGTAGTTGGTTACCTTTCCCCAAAGGTGACCAGTGCGTCAGCAAAAGACGACTTTAACAGCGAGGCCCAGATGCCTCCTTGGCAGAGTCACCCTCGATACACGCCTGATGCTCTGACACGGTGGATGCACACAGACTGGGAGGAACCTGACGCCTGTGGGGTTGGCTCTCTTGGCCTTCAGCCAAGCTTTCAGGCCCTCTGACCTCCACTTGCTTCACTTACAGAACGAGGGGTAGGCTCAGCTCATCCCTTAAGGCTCTTTCAGGTTGAAACTATTTCGGAGATTTGGTTATTTTTGTTTCATTATGTTCAAAATCATCATTTCACATGTTTTTAGCTTTTCCCAAAATTCTTTAAAAAATGCTTTTTGTTGATTTTTTTAGAGAGAGAGGAAGGGAGAGAAATAGAGAGAGAGAAACATCTATGAGAGAGAAACATCATCGATTGGCTGCCTCCTACATGCCCCCGTGTGGGGATTGAGCCTGAAACCAGGGAATGTGCCCTGACCTGTGACCTCTTGGTTCCTGGGTCGATGCTCAACCACTGAGCTGCATCAGCTGGGCTCAAATGTCTTTTCTTCCACTCTCTTCTTGGATTTTGACTTTTCCTAGTATCTCCTGTGCTATTTTACTTAGTATACTTAGTGCAATTTACTTTTAAAAATTATACTTATTTGAAGTAGAAGCCTTATATGATTCTCTTAAATGGAAATCCAATATACTTTTGAGTATCCAACATGGATTTAAAGGTGGGAAACCACTATTTATTGAGCTTCAATTCTGCACCAATTTCTGTTGTAAGTATTGTACGTATATTATGTTATTTAATTTTCGCCATGACCCTGTGGGGGTAGTCACTGCCTCGACCTCCATTTTACAGATGGGAAAACTGAGGCTCTGAGAAGTTTCATAACCCAGTGGCGACTTCATGTAGGCTCTACAGGGTATGAGGTCTAGAGTCACAGCCCACGTTTAAGTGGCTCAAGATTTGAGAACGATGTGTGTGTGTGTGTGTGGATTGTTATTGCTTTTCCGTTAAAGTGCCAAGAACACGGACTAATCTAGATCTCTATTCATCTTCTGTCAACAGCCCTGACAACTTTACGGGGAGAGGCTGATAAGCGTCAGTCTGTGAGGACGGGAGTGGGTACAACATAAACACATTCCTGCAGGGCTGCAAAGAAAGCAAGGGTGCCCAGACATGGGGAGTGTGTGCACGTGCGGTTTTACACGCAGAGGTGATGGCTGCCTCTCACACGTGTGTGTATTTGGAAGCTCCTAGGTGCCCCAGGTGCTGCTGCCATTGTGGGGCGGGAAGGAAGGTATTTTTCACAGGATGCGCACTTGTTGGGACAGTCTGCCTTCCTGGTCGGAGAGGATGCAGACTGTGACTTCTCGGTATTGCAGCCGTGTCATTCCTCTTCTGATGGACAGGGCACATTTCACAGAGCTTCCAACCAGCTTCCTGCAAGCAAGGCAGGCAGGGGCCTTGATAATAAAGTGGAACTCAGGACAATGAAGTGCAATCTGAACCCCGAGAATGTATTTTTCTAAGGGTGGTTTTCCCCCCAGCTACTGGTAATGACATTCCATTCATTCAGGGCTGCATTGATTCCATTCATACGGGATGCTGCATTCACAGCAGAGCCCTAGCTGGTTTGTGGTCAGACGGGTCATAGGAGGCACTCAGGCTGTTTTGAAGCCTCCAGTGGAAATCAGCTTGGGGAATGGCAGAAGCCCACGGTGGCCCAGGCTACAAGGCTGGCGGGAAAGGCTGAGAGTGGAGTGAAACTTGCTGTTCCCCAGGGCAGGAAGGCTCACGGTTGGAAACTTTACAGACACAGATTTACATTTGTGCCTACCAGTTAGTTCACCTGAAATGAACAGCCTCGTCTCCCTAAACCTCATTTTTCTCATCTGGTGTGTGTGTGTGTGTGTGTGTTTAATGTGGTAAAATATCCATAAAACAAAATTCATCATCTTAACTATTTTTAGATGTACAGTTCGGTGCCATAAGGTTCAGTCACATTTTTGTGTAAATGGGGTTTTGGGTAGGATTAGGTACTTGGGGGTCTTTCAGTAAAGTGGTAGCTAAGTTTATTATTATCCCTTTGTATTATCTAATAATTATCTCGAGCTTTTCAAACTATACTGCTTATTCTGGTGAGCAGTATTTTTTGGGTGAAAGCAGGTGCTAAGCGGTGGGGGATACAAAGATGAGGGGAAGGTGTGGGACCTCCCACCTTCCTCGGGACGTAAGTGTAACAGGCAAGGTGAATTCTCTTATGTATATGTATATATATGCATCTCTATATATATTTGTACACTGTATGTGTTGGTATATATGCGATCCTTGTGGAAAAAATAGATATGGAAGAATGCTGCCATAAATAACAATCAATAAAACACTAAAGAAACTCAAGGGACAGAGAATGACTTCAAGGGGTGTGCAGCACAAGAGCAGCAAGGTTAGGTAAAGCGTTTGCTTAGGACTATAAAGCACTTTTGCATTCATGGTCTCCTCTGGATGGATTTTAAAAAATTATTCTCACAATAATCTTGTGAGCTAGCACAGGATAGGGATCATGGACTCCCATTTTCTGGTGAGTAAACCGAGGCTTAGAGTAGCTGATGGACCTGCTCCATGTCACACAGAGGGCTGAAATAGGATTAAGAACTCATTTAACAAAACCCAGTGTCCTGACTCCATTTCCTCTAGGGTCACCGTTTAGGCAAACTGCAGTTCTGATCAGTTCGGGCACGACCAGGCCAGCAGGGGAGGGCAGTTGGGGGCAACAGGATAAAGAGGTGGCAGTGTCAAGTGCACAGGTAAGGGTTTTCCCAAGTGTGATGTGCACACCACCGTGGTGCAGCGTGACTTTAAGTAGGCCACATGTGAATACTTCTCAAACTAATAGTTATGCACTTCAGTGTTCATCAGAAACATGAAGCCTGTGGTTTTGTGGATTTCTCAGGCAAATCTAAATGTAAGAGAAGATAGAACATCCAGTTTGGCTCAGTGGAGAGAGCGTTGGCCTGTGGACTGGAAAGACCCGGGTTCGATTCCAGTCAAGGGCATATGCCTGGGTTGTGGGCTCGATCCCCAGTAGGGGGTGTGCAGGAGGCAGCCAATCAATGATTCTCATCATTGATGTTTCTATCTCTCTCTCCGTCTTCCTTCCTCTCTGAAATTAATAAAAAAATATATATTTTAAAAAAGGTAGAGCGTCCAGGTAAGGAGTAATGTTAAGTACCAGAGCAGGTAGTGTGCAGATGGGGCAGAATGTGTGCTGGATGCCAATGGCCGCCGCCAGAAGCCACGGGCCCAGTCGTGTTGATTGGTCCTTTTGTGAAGACCCAGGGCTACAGAGAAGAGGGTGACTCAGCTGGCAGACCCCCCAGGTTCCCTCAGCTGCTCTAGTGCTGGATGGTGCGAGTTGACCCAATGCAGACACGGACTGCGACACTAACAAGCCTTGCTTGTCTTTGTAGATTGCTGACTTTGGGCTTTCCAACCTGTACCAGAAGGACAAGTTCTTGCAAACGTTTTGTGGGAGCCCACTCTATGCGTCTCCTGAAATTGTCAATGGGAGGCCTTACCGAGGGCCAGAGGTGAGCAGCTGCCTGTTGTGGATGGCGGGTCTTGGGGGGAGAAAAGGCCAGAGGGCAAAGAGCTTAATCCAGAAAATACTTTAAAAAGTATCCCAACAAATAAGCAAAGCAAAATTTTCCTTATCCTACCTAATAAAAGGGTAATATGCTAATTAGACCGGGTCAACCAGCCATTTTCTGGATGTCGACTTCCTTCTGGACAAAGCCATGGTGGCAGGGGCTGAGGCAGAGGCAGTTAAGGGCGAAATCAGGCTGGCAAGGGAGGACAGTTGGGGGCATTAGGCAGGCAGGCGAATGGTTAGGAGCCAGTGGTCCTGGATTTTGAGAGGGAAGTCCCAGATTAGAGAGGGTGCAGGCCTGACTGAGGGACAATCCCCTATCCCCAACCTCTCATGCACAAATTTCGTGCATCAGGCCTCTAGTATGATTATAAAAGTCATAACATACACAACTTGGGAGAAAAATAGAAAAACCCAGAAAAGCCTAAAAGAGAAAATAAAGTTACCTGCAATCTACCCATAAAAGATAACCAGTTGATATTTTTGTGGCTTTTTAAAGGACCTTTTTCCAGTATAAATCTCTGTGTTTCAGAAATAATTGAGCCCTGGCTTGTGTGGCTCAGTTGGTTGAGCATTGTTTTGAGCACCTATAAGTTACCAGTCCGGGCATGTGCCCAGGTTTCCAGTTCAATTCCTGATGGGGATCATGCAGGAGGCAACTGATTGATGCTCCACTCTCACACACATATTTCTCTCTGTCTCCCTCTCCCTTCCCTCTCTAAAAATCAATAAAAAAGTCTTAAAAAGTAATTGAGGTCCTTGTATATATAAATGTATGTGTGTGTGTATATATATATACACACACACACACACACAGAGACATATATATATATAAAAGGCAATATATACACTGTATATATACACAAGTGTATGTATATATGTATATGTATATGTATATGTATATGTATATACACAGTATATATTTTGCCTTTTATTAACTTAACATATTAGGACATATTCTGACTTTGTTATTAAAACAGTTTTTAATGACAACACAAAGTTTCATTGTAGGAATAAACAGCATAATTTACTCACTCCTCAAGATTTAGACAGTCAGATCACTTTCAGTTTTTCCTCATTATAACAAAACAAAAAAACAAACATCAAACCAAAAACCTCTTAGTTCTGGGAATGACTACCTTTTCACAAATAATTTTTTTTTTCATTTTTTTAAATTAAGGTATTATATGTGTACATATCTTACCAATTCCCCCACGAATAATTTTGATAGCCTGTATTTTTTAATTAAAGAAATACATTTTAATTGTATCTTTGAACTCATGAGCAATGCATGGCTCTACATGCCTAAGGCTTTTTGGGGCCATGTGTTAGGTGGAAATGTTATTTTAAAAGCGGCTGACTATTTTTTTGAGTGGCTATTTTCTTTAAAAAAAAAAAAAAAAGATGGTTCTTTTTACATAGAAATTTTTATCCACTCAGTATTCTTTAAATAGCAGCTGTTCACTGAGTTAAAATGTTTCCTTCCAAATATTTATCTGTTTGAGAGTGTTTGGGGCAGGGCTGGAGGCGGAAGAGAAGGGTGCCAGCAACCTCTGCCAATGACAGTGCCGAGAAAGTCTTTCTGAAGTAAGAATGCAAGGGAGGAGCACGGGATTCCATTTACAAAACTGCAGAAACTCGACACTGTACATTTATCATCGATAATGAACGCCTCTTTGATCTCGGAGGATCTGTTTCTGAGGTTACAAGCTGGCAGCCTGTGAACTGGCCGGCGAGCGTGCTTTATTTGGCCACATTTGTTTTTTCTAAAAAAGAAAAACATATACATATTGAACAAACATTTGATAGCTGGGAGATTTCCCATATAAGTCTGGTTTCTGACTTCTCTTGAAAAACCAAAGGATCGTTGTTCCCCCAGTTCTCTCTCACTTCGCTCACGTTTGTTGTCTGCCTGGCTCCTGTAAGCCTTTGGGTTTGCCGCCCGATCCATTTGAAGGAAGGTACGAGGAGGAATGGATTCCTGGGTGAGAAGCCAGGAGCCCTGTGTCCCAGGCTTAACCTCCGTCACTGGGGCGAGGCCACTCCAGAAACCATGTAGGCCTTGGTGCCTCAGTAGTCTCATCTGTCAAGTGGGGGTGGGGAGGGTGAAAGTCATTCAGACCCTACCGATTGCACAAAGTTACAATGAGGACCAAAGCAGACAGTCTGTTTGAGAAAGTTCTTCTGTGGGATGTGGGTCGGGACTGCGGGGTCTTGGTTTGAAGTGGAAATGCCCAGCTGCGCTGCATATCGGTTGTCAGGCTGCCATGGCAACCTGCCTGCCAGGTGCTAAACTCAGCTCCGGGGTCGCCGGGGGTGGCTGCTCCCACGCTGTGATGCTAATGGTCTGGGCGGCATCCGGAATCGGCTTCCCAGCTCCTCACTGTCCTGTCTCTCCGCTACAGGTGGACAGCTGGGCCCTGGGCGTGTTGCTTTACACCCTGGTCTATGGGACAATGCCCTTCGATGGTTTCGATCACAAAAACCTCATCCGGCAGATCAGCAGCGGAGAGTACCGGGAGCCCACGCAGCCCTCAGGTGCGTGCCCGGGAGGGTCTGGGGTGGGGCGGGAGCTGCCCTCACTCACGCTCCCTGCTTCTGGTTTAGCGTCTGGAAGGGGGTCTCCACCTTTTCCTCTTTCTTCCCGCCAGGTCTTTGCTTTCTGGCAACGCTGGCTGGTGAGGCCGCGTTCCCCACGCTTTCCCAAATGAGAATTTCACAACAAGCCTTCTCCACGGCAGGAAGGCTAGGAGGAGTCGCGGTCACTTGCTGTGTGAACTTGGGCAAACCCCTGACCCTGTTTCGATTCAGTTTCTCCCCTGAAAATTAAAAATTTGGGAAAGGTATTTTTGGCGTCTCCTGGTCCATGTAGACACACAGACCACCCTGCCTAGACTGCAAGTGTCATGAGCGTGGCAGCGGCCCCTTTTCACCACTGTGCCCCCATGGGCACTGATTCATGGTCTGTGGCCGCATCGGGGCTCTGTCCCCTCCCCCACACAACCACGTAACCATGGTGAGCACCCGGGCTGGGTAAAGCTCCACTGGGGCTGATGTGGGGGCAGTCCTTGTGGGCTCTCTGTCTGTGAGGTGCCTCCCGGGCCTCTCAGTCTGGGAGGGAGCCTGCACTTCTAAGAAGGAGGAGGAAGAAGCTGACAGGCTTTCTTAATGTCTGTGTTAGAAGTCAGATAAAGTCCCTTCTGCCATGTCCCGTTGGTCAAAGCCTCCGAGGCCATGGGTTCTGCCTCTTGATGGGAGAGTGCCCTGTGTGTGTGTGGAAAGGGTGTGCACAGGGGGCCCTTTTTATACAATCAACACAGGCACTTCATATGTACACATACATGTTCACACATGGGCACACAGGCGATTTTCATTATTTATGGAGGGACATTCTGTAACGTTGCTGTGAGCACTGGTCAGTGAGTCCCGAGGCGCTGCTTCTCAGTGAGATTCAGGGCTCGATTCCTGTGAGCCTCGGAAGTGCCTGTGCTTTTGTCACTGAGCAGTAGGCAACCTTGTTTTAAACAAACCCTGTGTGTTTCTGTTTAAAGATACCGAGCTTAAAATATACTGCTGATTGCTTATCATCAAAGTCAGGGCCAACGGCCCGTGACTCATGCCTGAACAAGCTCACCTGACACACATCACAGCCTTCTCGCCCCCAGGATCACTAGATAGCACCTCAGCACTGCACCTGGGGCCGTTGAAACAGCCACATCCACAGAAGGTGCAAAAATGTGAACAACGTGAAAATAGAGAATAGAGAATAGACTGAAAGGGACACTGGGCGAGTCACGAGCGCAGACACAGCGAGCAGAGTGCGTCCCCTCGGTGGGCCTCAGCTGGACACACACATGCGTGTTGGGCAGCTCAGGGTTTTGCCTCTCTCTGCTGAACACTAGTGGCCAGGAAAGAACCCTGAGTACCGATGTTCAGGTTATACATACATTTTAATGAGTAGGTGAATTTACAAGTACAGGATCTGTGAGTAATGAGAATTGACCATTCACATGTGTAGATGGATAAAGTCATATCTATTTTTTCTTTTTTCCAATAAGCCAACCTAGTAGGGATTTTTTTTTTTTTTAGAAATTTCAGGGTGACCTCGATGACAGTCTTATTTGCCTCAACCAGCTACCTGGGGTTCCTGGCACATTGCAGGAGTTCAGGGAATATTTGCGGAATGACTGAATGAACACCGTCCTGTCACTTTTCAGGGTGGGGCTCTCCCCTGGCCCCCTTGCCAGGCCCTTGCCAGCTACTCACTAGCCCACATAAGTGGCCGGGGGAGGGGGCGCCTCCCAGGACGTAATTCAGCCCCCATCGGGGAAGCACGGATGATCTTTGAAGTCGGTGTGTAAGCTGTGAGAGGCCCCTGGTTCCCTGTGGGGCTTCCCCCTACCTCTCTGGCAGCAGAAATTTGCAAATGGAGTTTGTCAGACAGGAGGCGAGCTGACAGCAGACAGATCAGCTCACTGATCCCACAGCTCCTCACGCTGTGGCTTCTGTCAGAGAGGGAGAGGAGCTGAGCTCATGGGGTGTGGGCCTCAGGACCTGGCCAAAGCCAGCCGTGGGCGTGGCTCCTGCACTTGGCCCCTTCACTGCCCAGCTGTGCCAGGGCTGAGCTCCTCTCCATCCTCAGCCTTTTCCTCTCTGACGAGGAGCTTTTTCTTGCCATCTCGGCCCCACATTTCCTTGTCATCGCTACACACTTTCCCGATGACCCTGAGCACTGCATGCGTATGCAAGCCTATGTCTGGAGGACTAAAGAGAGCCATAGGAACCTACAGCTGTGTTCCCTTTCCGTGAAATGACATTCACCTGCTGGGATTGGGTCTGGATTCTTTTCCGGGTACCCGGCCTTGCCCATTTTATAAAGATTAGAGTTGATAGAAAGCTCAGTAGTTCGTGACATTCCTCCCCTCACATGCAAACACATGCCAGGCTGTGACGGTGAACTGGCCTGTGGTTCTAAGTCTTTTTTTTTTTTTTTAATTATATTGATTTTTTTTTTTTTTTACAGAGAGAAAGGGAGAGGGATAGAGAGGTAGAAACATCAATGAGAGAGAAACATCGACCAGCTGTCTCCTGCACACCCCCTACTGGGGATGTGCCCACAACCAAGGTACATGCCCTTGACCGGAATCGAACCTGGGACCCTTCAGTCTGCAGGCTGACGCTCTACCCACTGAGCCAAACCAGTTTCGGCATGTGGTTCTAAGTCTTGATGAGGTTTTAGAGGTACAGTTTGGAAGGCTTTGGCTAGACTGGGGCTCCGACAGGACTTTTCGGAAACTGAGCGTGTCTCCTTTGTCATCCTGGTCACGAAGCCGGGGGCTCCCATTAAGGCCTCTTCCTTCTTGCCCTGCAGATGCCCGAGGACTCATCCGGTGGATGCTGATGGTGAACCCCGACCGCCGGGCCACCATCGAGGACATCGCGAACCACTGGTGGGTGAACTGGGGCTACAAGAGCAGCGTCTGCGACTGCGACGCCCTCCCCAACTCCGAGTCCCCGCTCCTGGCCCGGATCATCGACTGGCACCACCGCTCCACGGGGCTGCAGGCCGAGGCAGAGGCCAAAATGAAGAGCCTGACGAAGCCAGGGGCCTCGGAGGTCATGCTGGAGCGGCAGCGCTCGCTGAAGAAGTCCAAGAAGGAGAACGACTTTGCCCAGTCCGGCCAGGACGCGGTGCCCGAGAGCCCGTCCAAACTGGGCTCCAAGAGGCCCAAAGGGATCCTCAAGAAGCGGAGCAACAGCGAGCATCGCTCTCACAGCACCGGCTTCATCGAGGGCGTGGTCAGTCCGGCCCTGCCCTCTGCCTTCAAGATGGAGCAGGACCCGTGTCGGACTGGCGTGCCCCTCCCAAGCTCCCCCGAGGCGGAGGTGCCAGGCAAGCTTGGCCCCAAACAGTCGGCCACCATGCCCAAGAAAGGCATCTTGAAAAAGACGCAGCAGAGGGAATCGGGTTACTACTCCTCCCCGGAGCGCAGCGAATCCTCGGAGCTGCTGGACAGCAACGACGGGATGGGCAGCGGCATCCCGTCCCCCAGCCCCCCGGACACGGCCAGGGTGACCGTCCACAGCCTGTCCTGCCGCAGGAAGGGCATCTTGAAACACAGCAGCAAGTACTCCGCGGGCGCCATGGACCCGGCCCTCGCCAGCCCCGAAATGCCCACACTGGAATCCTTGCTGGAGCCCAGCGTCTCCTCCGAGGGCCTCTCCCGGAGCTACAGCCGGCCTTCCAGCGTCATCAGCGACGACAGTGTCCTGTCCAACGACTCCTTTGACTTGCTGGATCTGCAGGAGAACCGCCCCGCCCGCCAGCGTATCCGCAGCTGCGTCTCGGCGGAGAACTTCCTCCAGATCCAGGACTTTGAGGGGCTCCAGAACCGGCCCCGGCCTCAGTACCCGAAGCGGTACCGGAACCGGCTGGGAGACAGCAGCTTCTCCCTCCTCACGGACATGGATGACGTGACTCAGGTCTACAAGAAAGCGCTGGAGATCTGCAACAAACTCAACTAGCTCCCCGCCCGGGGTGCAGGGGCGGGTTGGGGGTGGGTACGAGGGAGGAAGGGAAGCAATGACTTGTGCTAAGGAGCTGGTTACCTCTTTGCTGGCCACGATGATAGACTGAAAAAGGATCGGTGCCATCTCACTTGGCCAAGGTTGCCAACCTTGCGCCGGCACCTAAAAGGGAGAAGTGGGCTCTCTGCCAGTCCTGTCAACTGCCAGTCAGAATTTGGGTCCTAATTGGCATCGGCTTTATGGTACATCCTAGAGGCCCAGCTATCCAGTGGGGGGGAGGGTGGCATTGGCCAGCACTTAGAGGGTGGGGAGGGAGCATATGGAAGTGGGAGCATTTCCCTAGAAGTCATCTGAGTGCTCCTGGAAGAGGCATGAGAGAGATTGGGGACATCTGCTTTGGGTGAGCTCAGAGCTTGCTCCTTCTCTCACATTAGCAAGCTTGGTGTGGTCTGATTGCATGGGGTTGGCAAGTAGATTTCAGCAACCTGAGTTTGAATCGGTGGTTGATTGGTAGTGGCTGCTGGCTGTGCTGGTGTGAGTAGCCCAGGCACATGGGAAGGAGTGCTGTGATCAACTAGTCATGGCTGCCATGGGTATGGGAAGAGGAGCAGTAGCACTCATGCCATCATTGACCTGGGAATTAGGTTCAGGTATCCTGTGGGGGTCTATGTTATCTCTTAATGCTACCGGAGTGGCACTTGTTCATTTGCTACTCTGTCTTGAATGGAAGATAGGGCCTTGGTCAGAGAGAGGATGCTCTGAACTTGGCCAAGGACCTAGAGCCCATGGTGATTTTTTTGGCTTCTTCTCTGATGTCTGTCTTGCTCTTCAGCACAACTTCCCAAAGGTGGATGGGAAAAAAAGATGGTGGTGTCAAAGGTTAAAACTGGTGTATGGCAGAACTAGGGACCTTCTGTGCTTTTTTGCACAGATGACTGGAAACTGACCCAACACCAATAAGGGGGCAACCTGTCAATTTCTATAACATCTCAATATTAACTGGAATGCTGCCTCTTGGGTTCATTCTCATTTGCATGAATGCTCGGAATTGGATGTGACACTGTCTATAGTCTCCATTGACCCTGTCTAGCTATAGCAGGCAGTTTCCCCATCCACCACGTGTGGAATCCTCAGAAGTAGATGAGTTTGCTTGTAGGGAGTTAGTTGTGTAGGTGGGATATTTGGACGAAGAAAGGAAAGTCAGGCAGAGGTGTTTCTCCCCCAAAGCTAGGTATTCTGTGTCATGGGTTTGAACTCCTAGGCTTTGGGAGAAAAAAGAATGTTTCATCCATTCAAATGAATAAGGTGTTGGAAGAGCAGGGTGGGTTGGGAGGAAGCATGTGGAAGAGGAGACATTTCCCGGGAAGCCCAGATGGTTCTGGAGGAGGCAGAGAAGAGGCGTGATAAGACTCTCACCTTGAAAAGACACACAGATTGCAGGTGACAAGACGTCACTCCCACATCTTCAGGTTCTGGGTTTGAAATTCATGGTCTTATTTTTGCATTTGGGATGACTTCAGATTCTACTGGCCTGGGGGAATTGAAACCCTTATTTCAAGTTGGCTGACTTCAGGCAGCCACCTAGAGAGACACAAGGAGGACTAATTTTGGAAGTCTTTTTGGGAAATCCAACAGGCAATAAAAGCTCCTGGGGAGATGAGAAAGAATTCACCTTAAGGCATGAAGAACATTTCATTAGGACAAAGCCACCCTTTCCCTAAGGAGATGGCGGCATTTTTCCCCTTGGCCACCAGCTCTGGGGTTTTGTCTCGTGTGTTCCTTCAGGTCCAGCTGAGTCATGTATTGTGGGAAGCTTCTCAGTTTCCTTGCATTCAATTCCACCTCCTTCCTGACTTCCAATAAAGGTTCAAAGGGTAAAAAAACAAACAAAAAAAACCCCACTAAAACCTCTGTAGGTGGCAAAGAGTGTGTGGAGGGTGTGGAGGCGCATGGAGGGCATTCTGCAGCCTCTGAGCTCCCTACTCCTTATCTCATTTTCCACAACCTTTTAGGAGTTCCCTTGTCTGCCGCACTGCTGGTCCCCATGCATGGCAGCCGGCCTTGTTGGTAGCTGTCAGAATGACTTGGGTATATCACTTACCTACTGGTTGATGTGTTGTTTTTTCCTTTTGCCAAGTGATTACCTCGGTTTAAGTATTTTCCAACCTTCTAATCTTGAAATAAAAATGACACTATTCAGAAAAGCTATTCTCCTCCCCCACCCCCCTCAAAGAGAAACACACGTGTATATTCTATGTTGTCCGTAAACCCAGACTGGATTGTGACAAAGACAGTTCTCCACCCCGAGGCCGAGAATCTAGGTTGAGTCCTGGTGTGCTGCTAACGAGCTGGTGGCCTTGGGCACCTGCAGAGTTTTTGGGACTAAGTTTCCTCTTCAGTGAGAGCTCGAGGGGTGGGTTAGCTGGTCTCAAGCCCTGCCTAGTTCTGACATTCTGCTAGATCCTCTGATGCTAGATGGGATGTTGACTGCTTTTTAAGGAAAACCCTGGAAGAGAGGGAAAAGCTCAGAAAAGCCACTTCCCTGCTTCCTGAGTAAGTCCTACCACCCCTACCTGCCAATCCCTCGCCAAGCAGGTCGTGCTTGATTCGTTTCCACGGAATCACAAGTGAGAGACACTTTTACGACCCGGTGGACCAGGAAGGAGGTTCAATGTCAGCTCTCCCAGTCCTTCCCTTGCCTCTTGGGCCTTTCAGTGTCTTAGTTTACACATCTGCCAAAGGAGTAGAGTGATCCTTCTTTTTACAGGTAAATTTCAAAGGCATGATCAGTTTTCAGGAAGTGCTTCAAGACCCCAGGGGTAATGAAAAGGCTGAGAACTCAGTGAATTCCCATCCCTGTTGTCAGGTGCTGCTGCTTCAGATGACAGGGAGCACTTTTCAGGGTGGGATTCAGGTGAGGCTTGCCCAGGCCTGCTGTCTTGAGTACAAATGTGAATGATCGACTGACTGCTTATTGCCAAACTGGAAATGTTCTGTAGGGATTAACTGGCATGGTATCATTCCTAGAAGAAAATCGAGAGAGAGAGAGAGAGAGAGAGAGAAGAGAGAAACTTGACTGCACATTAAAAAATAAATAAATAAAAAATCCAAGTTGTGACTTTTATTTAATTTCTATTTTTTTGTTTTGTTTTGGTAATAAAAAGTTGACTTTTTTATTTGAATTTGTCTTTTCTTATTTATTGGTCTGAAAGGCATTTCAAAGGTATTATAATAATATATTGGTGTAATTTAATTGGTGCAACATGTTCTATGGCTCCAGTCAAAATTGGTTTTCACTCATTTGATTGGTTTGAGCCCAGAATAGCCTACAGGGGGAAAGAAAAAAGAAAAAAGGAAAACAGAAAAAAAAAAAAAAATTGGATAACCACCCAAAGTGTTTGTATTTTCATTGGAAACTGATTTCTGTTTTGTTTTTTTGTTTGTTTCTGTTTTTATTTTTAAATTAAATAAATTGCAATGAACTGAACTGGGACTTCACTTCTTTATTTGCTTGTTTTTCATTTAGTTAACTAAGTGATAGAATGGGTACAACCAACAGAAAACCATTCAAGCTTAAGCACAAATGGGGGATTTATTCGAAGTTCTCAGAAGGCGGAGAGCTGTTGGCAGTGCAGAGTGGGGTCTTTGAGGACAGGTTCTCTTTTCTGCTCCTCTTTGCATATCAGCTTCATTCTTCCCTTTTTGTAGCCTGGCTTTCCCCTCTCTTGATTTTACGACCCATCCTGGCTTATCAGATAACGTTCACATTAACATGTTCTCATTTCTGGTTCCAAAGGAGACTCCTGACCCAATTCCTTCCACCTCGACTAGAGAGAGCATCAGAGATTAACAGCCATGCTCTGGGCTGAGCCTCAGCTTCCTCTGCCTGCCCCCCTCCTTGGTACCCCTCTCTATTCTAAGGGCAGGTACATTCCTACTCTGATTGCTCAGAGTCCAGATCCATGGGCCATGCTTCCCAGTGGTGCAGGCCACTGCTCTGCCTGGAAAAAAGTGGTGTTATGTCCAGACTTCGTGATCCCCAAGGACCACCAGGGAGCTGAGTCCGATGCAATAAACAAAAGAGCCTTTTCCATGCTAGCATGGGCTCTGTCCCACTCATGCCGGCAGCATGGCGGAAGAGAGAGAATTTCGCCCAGTCCAGGGATTTTACTCCAGCCGGTGGTGATGTCACTGCCTCGGCTAACCCTGATTGGTTGGGTGAGGGCTAGGGTTCAGTTACAGAATGAAGGATAACTCCATCCTGCCCAACAGTGGAGTCAAGATCCCATCCTCGCCCCGCCCTGCCTTCTCAGTGACACCCAAGTCCCTTTGTGCCATTCATTGTTCCTTCTGCTCACAGACCCTTCAGGAAGCTCTTGGGAAGAGGGATGAAGAATGAGGGAGACTGGGGCGTTCCTGGAACCCAGTCACAAGACCAAATGACATCATGCCCTGTCCTGGAATCAAACCTTGAGAGTCCTGCTCTGTACGAAAGAGCAGTGTTAGGGGATCCATGCAAGGAAAGTCTTGACTTTCCAAAGAAACAGCAACTTTCACTTTATATTCAAGTTTCCTTGAATGTAAAACTCAACATGGATGGAAAACCATAGTCCTTTCTTTACAGGACAATATTCACTGACGTTGGACATTTTAAAGGCAATCTGCCTGGCTTGGAAGCTCTTCATTCTTGCTGTGGTCTCTGCCCTTGTTAGCAAATGGGCCTGCCAGTCATTTCCAGGGCAAGGGACTAAGAGGAAGTCTGCTTAAAAATGAGTCCCTTTGGAAAGACATAGTTCTGCAGTCACGTAGAGAGACTAGCATGTGCATGGCCTTGGGGCTGGGCCATGTGATATATAAGGTGTAGTGAGGAATAGAGGGGTGACTAGAGTAGCACAGATGACTTGCTGTCAATGGATAAGTTGGTGAGGTTACTGGGAGTGGTCACTTTAAGGGGGAAATTTGAGAATTAACATTCATTGAGCTTCTACATGGTGCTCACATCGGTCAAGGGAGGTGGCAGAAACTCAACTCAGACCATGTGAAGTAATAAGAAAAATTTACCGCTTCATGTTATGTCTCAGGCACAGTTGGATCCAGGGGTTCAAGTGATATCATTGGCCTCTTTTCCACTCTCACTAAATGTGGATTTTGTTCTTAGGCAGGCTTTCTCTGCCTGGAAGCAAGATACCCGTGTTTCCCCCAAAATAAGACATCCTCTGAAAATAAGACCTAGCGCATGGAAAGATAAGACATCCCCTGAAAATAAGACTTAGTGCAACTTTGGGAGAAAAAATTAATATAAGACACTGTCTTATTTTCGGGGAAACAGGGTAGCTCCTGGAAGTAATAGGATTAAAGATCCTGTTAGTGTGTGATCCTGGAGTCAGAGAGAGAATCTTAATATCCCTTATGTGCCAAGGAAGATTGTGATTGGCTTTGCTGGGATCAAGTATTTCCCTCTGGCCCAGTCACAGAGTCCAGGTGGAGAGATGCCCTGATTGGCTAGTCTGAATCCTGTGCCCACCCCTGTGGTATACTTGAATGACAGCTCCTTCAGAATTGCACAGTGAGGGAGGGCAGCTCTCAGTAGAAGGGATGCAGAGCCAACAATAAAAAAGTTACATCTTTTGGGCAGCATTTACAAAATAACATTAAATCAGCTCTAACTTTCAGAGTTGTTGTGGAAATTAAATGTAATAAAGTACCTAATACAGGGCCGGACACATAGAAGATTTAAAATTTATACAGCTAGCATCAGGAAGACACAATATAATGCTCTAGAGAAGAAATATATTTGTAAAAGCAGCTATAATATGAGAAAACCCAGCTGAAACTTTTTTTACACACTATAAGGGCTTTATTAGCTCATCTATTTGGAATTCTAGAGAGAGGGTGTGAGATCCCTTAACAGGACCTGCGTGGTTCAGGGTCCGGTTTCTGGAGGAG